AGAAAAATGAAAAAAAAAAGTCTCCAAGAGGGGCCGACACTCTACTGTTAGAAGAGTAAAGGGAGGCACATATATTATAATCTAAATATTTTAAGAGGATTGATTAATGGTGAGAACCATAAATCAATGTGCTCAATAGTTTCCACCAAAATTCGTGCACTTCTGGGTCCCACTGTCTTTCAATAAGATTCATAGTCCTCAAACCACTAAATAAACCAATGATTTTCGTTTATTTTAATGCAAATAGTAAATATGAGAATTCAAATTGAAATGATAATTTAATGATCAAATAAATAAATAAAAACTAACAATAAATATTAATCATAAAAAATTAACAATAAATTGTAATTTAATCACCACTTATAAATTCTTATCTGCGTCAACCTTTGAACAAAATTAAGAGCACTAGCAAATTTTTGGCAAGTTATGTACAAAAAGTTAGGTTAAAAAAAAACAAGTCACCAAGACAAAATTCAAGTCTAGATGACTTCTGCAAAAGTTAGATAGTTGCACCAAATTCAAAACCCTCCTGTTGAATTCCCACAATAAAATAACCTTACATATGTTACATGAGATCAACTTTAGGAAATTCACTATAGAAATTCCGCTCCAATTTCAAGAAGGAGAACTAGAACTCCGCCATCAACAACCAACGACTAGGAAATTCTTAACCTACTTTAGAAAATCAACAGCATTGGTGGCGCTAGAAATTCGCTAGTTTAGTTGCAATTTGCCTTAACTTGAAAAAATTTTGACTTCAACGTATTGATCTTATGACATTCATGAAGTAAATCTAAACACAAATTATGTTCTTACTATAAAGTAATTGAAGTCATCAAAAAGGTATTTCTTGCTAATTAACAAGATATCCTTAGAACCCATAATAAACAGTGATTATAATCTCATCATCCAAAATAGTAGTAGGAGCAAATTATATGGAATTGCCAAACTGAAGATTTGTTGCAGATTCACAATGAGGAGAGATAAAGAGAAAATAATATAAGAAATTACTTGAAACATGCTCATGAAATAAAGTTAAATCGAACTCATTGAAGTTTGAATTAAAACTAAAGTTTTCTTGGATTTTTTAAGTTGTTGCATTTGTTCCAATGTGCTGTAATTGACCCTACTTTAAATTGTTATATGTACCTTGTTTACCATGTTTAAATTGATCATGCAGTTGGTTCCTATAATCATCAAATGATAGGTATTGCTTCTTTTGTCTATGTTTTATATTAACTTTTGATGACTTAATAGTAACACTTATCCAAAATATTTTTTTATTATTATACGTCTCATCAAATGTAGAAAAATAATTTTGAACTTTATGATAATTATTTTGTATTTGTATAAAATCATAGTAGCTTATACAATTTTGTGAAATTGTATTATTAATTATTTTTTATTGACCCAACTAATTTATCCTATATTTAGTTGACTTGATGATGCAACCATAACTTTTGATGCCCAATTTGATGCAAGATGATTTAGGTTAGAGTTTCTTAATGTAATTGGAATGATGTGATTATATAAATCATATGTGAAATTGGGATTCATAGTTTACTAATACATAAATAAGCCAATAAATTTCTTTCTTTTATTGCTATTAGTAAATTCATGCATTAGAATCTGTCAAATATCACCCCAACCATCTCAGCCATAGGACCTCTTGATCCCATGGCCAACATGGTATCTGGATCATGCCAATCTCCTTTCATATTTGGGTGGCTGATTTAAGAAGGATTATATTAGTACAAATGTACAATTATCAATTATGCATTATTCTGTAATTATTGTTTCCTTATTAAAGTATCTTTTATAGATCTATATATAGGGAGAGCTTTATGCAATAATATTAAGACTTTTCCCTCTTCAATTCTCATGACCCGGTTAGGAAAGTAGAGGTATTAGATTTGTCTTATGTTAACAAAAGTAGAGGAAGGCCTAAAAAGACTTGGTTAGAAAATATTAGAAATGATCTTTCTTTGTTAGATTTAAACGAGAATTTGACTTTTAAGAGGACACAATGGAGAAAAGGGATTCATGTAGCCGACCTCACATAGTGGGATAAAGGCTTGTTGTTGTTGTTGTTGTTGCCTCTTCAATTCTCTGAATTTAACCGAATCCAATTGACAATTTTATAATCGAATAAATCTGAAAATTCATAATAAATTTGAATTAACCATCTTGTAACTATAATTTAAACATCATAAATAGATTTTTGTGTCAAACTAGAACAAAATGAATAGCACTAGCAAACAATAACAAGTAGGAGAAATTTGGTCAATGAAAGAAGTTACCATGATAAGAAATGCATGATTCATATTGGTACATGGAGATGAATTTCTGTTAGACCGGTCCAGCCGATCCATAAGGGACTGGCTTATGGATGAAATAGGTGGAACTTCTGCCTCTTGTACGCGCTGAACGCACGCTCGGGCAAACCGAGCTGTTTAGGAAGAATTTTTTGGGCAGATAGGAGGAAAATTTGAATGTAGGGACTATTTAGAGATTTCCTTTTGGATTGTATGTATTAAATAGTTGGTTTTCCTTGGGTTAGGACATCTTGAATTTGGCTGAAATTTGAGATCTCTTCTGTTTAGATTTCGTTTGGGCTCTAGCATTGTCTAGAGATTTGGGAGAGATAGATCCTCTCGAATAGAGGATCAATTGTATCTTGTTATTTTTCGTTTCTATTTCATCAAATAATACAAATTAGCTATTGTTTTCTTAGTTTTGTATGGATTTTTGTGGAGAATTCTCGTTGTTTTCCAAAGATCCATAGGAATTTCTTGAGATCTTCAAGTGTTTCCTATCAAATTGGTATCAAAGTTGTTCAATCCAGGCACTCATAGTGGAAGAAAAGTAAAAGTATTGGAAGGCGAGATTGGGCAATTGAAATTAAATTTTGTAGAAAAGATTTTAGATTTCAAAAATCTATTTTCAGCCATCCATAAGAAGATCGATGAGAAATTTGCCATTATGGAGGAGTTGATAAAGAAGCTGCTTGAGGGCCGACCTAAACCGACAACATCGGAGGTGAGAGCATCGTTGACCGAACAAGAAAATGTGAGTAACCCTGATATAGGGAATAATGAGGGAGAATCAGGCGGTGGAAATAGTGGAGGAAGAAGAGGGGATGCTACTTTTGGAGCCACTTCCAAGGATCGGAAATGGTGAAGCATAATTTGTAAGAAGAAAAAGTTAGGGAGAAGATAGAAGCAACATACATGATTCTACCACCCCATCAACAGTATCGAAATGTGTTTTAGCAAGTTCAAGGGTTGAATTCTTCGCGGGAACGCGAGTATGTTATCATCTTGAAGTAAGGAGTTCCACCTATTAGTGTTCATCTATACCGTCATCCCCAAATCAAGAACGAAGAGATTGAGAGATTAATCAAGGAGATGCTCGAGGCAAAGGATCGTTTGACTTCGTGTCAGCCCATTTTTGTGTATAATGGTATTAGTCAAGTGCTTAAATAGCAGATTTGTTCATTCCTCAAGGTGGGGCTTTGGGAGGGGAGTTTGTTAGACCGGTCCGGTCCACTGGACCGGTCAAGCCGGTCCATATGGGACCAACTTATAGACAAAGCAGGCGGAACTTCCGCCTATTGTACGCGTCGAACGCACTCTAGGGCCAATCGAGCTATTTAGGAAGAATTTTTGGTGGAGTTAGGAGTAAAATTTGAATATAGAGTGTTTGGAGATTTCTTTTTGGATTGTATGCATTAAATAGTTGGTTTTTTTAGGGTTAGAGCATCTTGAATTTGGTTGAAATTTGAGATCTCTTATATTTAGGTTTCTTTTGGGCTCTAATGGCGTCTAGAGATTTGGGAGAGATAGATCATCCTCTCGAATAGAGGATCAATTGTATCTTACTATTTTCCGTTTCTATTTCATCAAATAACACATTATCTATTGTTTTCCTGGTTTTGTGTGGATTTTTGTGGAGAATTATCGCTGTTTTCCTAAGATTGCTAGGAAATTCTTGAGATATTCAAGTGTTTCCTATCAATTTGCTCAAAATTAATTAGCAGCTCATCCACCAAATTCGAAGGAATCACGCATCCCTCTGAAACACGAGGTTTGAATCTTGAAGAAATTTTTATAGTAAAAAATATCCGATTGCATGTCTCATATTCTCTATTTATAGATTTTCCTCAAAAGGTCTGTTCGTTCAAATCTATAATACGTAAATCATAGCGTATTCATTGCTTGTTCCTGGAAAAGAAACCATAACTAAGTCACAGAAAATCCGTACTCTGAATTCCCACAATAGGAAGAAAAATCCAACGTAGAGGAGATCATCATTAGGAAATCTGCTATAGAAATCCTGCATCCGCCACAATAAGCGGATTTGGAATTCCGCTACAGGCAATCAACTACTAAGCAATCCCTTACCCTGCTACAAGAGATCAATAGCAGTGAAAATCAGCTACAGCCCCGCATGAATTGGTAAGGTCTAACATCTGTTGCTCATAATTAGGGATCGACAGGTTGGATATAAAAATTCCATTTTGATGACAAATTCATCATTAACATAGGATGTTTTGGCCTTAATTAGAATCTGTTTTCAAAGGAAAATTATTTGCTATACGAAAGATTACTCTGAACTCCTCTCTGGCTCAACTTTACAAGAGATTTTAACAGAGAGTTTTCAATTTTGGGATAAGGACTGGTTATTTCCATAACTGACTTCGAAGTTAACAATGCAAAATCTGTAGCATGGTTTTGAGCCATAAGATTCCTATTGTCCTAATTTTTTAATATTGAAGTTGCTTTTTTTTTTCTTTTCTTTTTTCTGGGTAGATATGATATCAACAAAATAACTTTAACTAGCTTATTGGTATAAAATTGTAGAATAAGATATCTAACTTATTATCCAGCTGATAAGTTGGGATTGTAACTAGCAGTATTCAGTTTATCTTGTTTTTTTAGGAAAAAAAAAAAAATCTTTTTTCATAATCTGAAATGCTCTTTTTGACAATTTCCTGATAGACAAACCTGGGGTCCAAGGATTGATTTGCATGATTCCCATTTCCTGGCGATTGCTGCTGCAGAGCAGGAGTTACTTCAAGCTGAATATGAAGATTATGCAGCTGCACATAACAGTGGCATTGCCTGTTGCAGAGTTGTTGCTCTTATTGTATGTTCTAATACCATTTAAACACTAATAATCCTTTTATATCATCATTATTAGCCTTATCCAATCCATTTTGGGTCGGATTTATGAACTTAGTCGGTATGGAGTTCTGAAAGCGGTTGTTGGTTTTCTGTAGTTGATGCTGCTTTTATTTTTTCGCCAAATTCTCATGGTCACAAGCGACCCTTTGATGGTTCAGGATGTGTCTGCCTTCTTCAATGTAAGTTTAACCTCTCCTATTTGGCGAAATGAGCAATTACTGAAATGATTTCTTGCATTGTATCAAGAGAGAATAACTAGCTAATACATCTTATATTTATTTTCAAAGAACAAGGCTAGATTAAGAAAATATATGAATTATATGTAATTAATCTTCACTGGTGATTGTCAGTTTGCCATTTTCCTTTAAAAATTTAGTCTTTTAGGTGGATTAGTTTGTTTTGTTTCAAGAAAATATACTCATTTTCACTTCTAATCTGTTAATTTTTATATTTTTTATTGCTACTGAAGTTCTATATAAGTGTTTCTATGGCTATTAGAACCTAACAAACAGATTCAATCTTCAGATATCTCTGCAGTTTGCTGGTTTTCTTCTGCCATGCTATGTAATAGCTCGCTCATGTTACCTTCTCCAGAGCCAGCACAGGCGGCAAGCATGGCTTTGATATAGGTTAGCTTTGTTTCCTTTTTAATTTTGAATTTCAAATATTATATTCAGTATATTCAGAAATTTTCTAAGTTCGGCCCCCTTAGGCTCTTTTTTTTTCTGAATTAGAAGATTTATCACAAAATGAGATTAATTTTATATTGCCCAGCTGGAATTCATTAGCATTATGATCCCTCCAACAAGTATTACTTGAATGATAGGTGCAAAATTAAATTGAACAGCTAATATAAATGACATGATGGCTCCCACTTGTAAATCATAGAAAATTTACCCTTAATTTCTTCTGTACATATATATTTTAGGAAATTTGTCTAAATCTGAGATGCGTCTCTTCGGCTTCATTTGGGATGACTTTCTCACTGCTTCTTAAAGCAGTGTATTAGTATAAAAATTTTAATTTTTGTACTAAAAATTTACTTTAAGAAGCAATAAGAAAGCTGTCTCAAACGAAGCCTTCATCTAATCTTCACTTGAAATCTTAATTCTGCCACGTTGAAAACCTCTTGAACACATTGTTTCATTGAATGTAGATGTATATGACTATTTGGGACAGTTTTTTTGTTGTTTTCTAAAACAGTTTTTTTTTTTATTAGAAAGTTATTTTAGAAAGCAGTAAGAAAGTTGTCTCAAATGAGAATTTTTAGTTTCATTGTTTGCATTGAGGTTTGTATTCCAAGACTCTCATGATGTTATAAATTGTGCAGGTTTCCTTCTCTGATTCTCCATGAATTTGAATCTACCCCCTCCTATGACTCTGCATATGAGCCTTGCAAGTTAGGCTTTTTTCTTAATTTGCTCCAGCAAATTGTACATATGAATCTTTTTTTTTTTCTTTTTTTTTCCCTTCTGTTAACTTTTCTAAGTTATTGAGAGTAATAAGAGAAAGAAAAATAGAATAGAGAGAAACTGATGGGAAAAAAGGTCTCTTATCATATTCTCTACCTTCATTTTTTCCTCTCTTATTACCCAAAAATATTGTTATGTGATGCCAAATATTTTCACTTTAGTTGATGATTTCATTTCTTCATATTTTCTAAAGTTTGGCTTTTTTTTTCTAATTATACCATTTGTGTTTTCAATGTGATTGTTATAAATGTAACCTATAAGGAGGTAATTGGAATAATTAAAATTCTAGGGATTATTTTGAAATTAGCACTAAAAAATGGATTTAAATGTGGCTTTTTTCTTTGTAATTGGGAATAATGATAAAAAAAATTTTGGAAGATGAAAATATTATTTTATTATTAACTCAAGAGTAAAATAATTAAGTTTTGAATCAAGGTTTTCACAAAGGCCTAGTTGGTTTGATCCCATTCAATTCGCCCTAGACTTAGTATAGTTTAACTTAACTCGTTAGTGTACTCTAAAATAAGAGAGATTATTTTGTGGAGTTCAGATATAGAGTTGTATCTAGACATGTAAGTGTACACGGTGTACAAATTTTATATAAAAATAGAAGTTTATAGTATAAATACATTATGTGCACCCATAGTTCGGACGTAGCTTTGCATTCAGACTTTGCATTGAATAATTTCTCCTAAACGAAGATCATATTGCTTTAACGAACCTAAGTTGGTCCTATATCTTGCTATGTAACATTATGTTATAAGAAATCTCTCATGGTCAAGCCTAGCTTTAGATACTTTGTCCTTGGTCAAATTGGAAGAATTGATTAAATTCTCAAACCTAGCATAACCTAGGCCAATCCAAACATTGACCATAGACTCATAATGGCTAACTTGCCTCTTAGGTCCCACTTAGGCAACTATGGTTTAGTCAAGTCAATCCTAAGCCTTAATCCCTAAGCTTGATCACAAACTTGGGAGAATTAAGCTTAATTTCCTAAACCCATATGGGATACAATTGATTCTCTATTCGAGAGTAGGATTGATCTCTCCAAATCTCTAGATGCCGCTAGAACCTAAAGAAAACTTAAACCTAAGAGATCTTAAATTCAACCCAAATTCAAGATGCCCTAATCCTAGGAAAATAAATTATTTAATGCATATAATCCAAAAGGAAATCTCTAAACAACCCCTACTTTGAAAGTTCCATCCAATTCCGTTCAAAAATCTTCCTAAATAGCTTCTTGAAGAGTGGGCGGTCGGCTCCTACGTACAGGAGGCGGAGAATTGTCCGCCTATTTCTCGTAAGCCGGTCACGTCTGGACCGGCTGGATCGGTCCAATGGACTGGTCTAACACAACCTTAGGCCTATAGAATATTGGGATTAATTCCCATAGAGAATGACTAACTATTTTATGGTGGGAAATTTGTAGTGATAGAATTAGAATGCCTATTTTAGTACTAAATAAAGATCTATTGCACATATAGGTGAAATAAGTTCATAAGATTGACTAATTTTATGTGAAAGTTCAAAAAGGGGTAAAGTCATAAGCCTTGGTGTACTTGAAATAATCAATTGTATAATTGAGATTATAAAAGTTCACTCTTCCCCAAGATGGGTGAAGGTTAGATTACAAAGTATGGATCACTAGTTAGGCCTCTTGTGAATATAGTAGATATTGTTGAAGAAGCAATTGAGGGTGATGACGATGGTCAAGAGAGAAATGCATGTTAGTAGTTGTCAATTCTGTTGGTGGACAATGATGGTCATGTGTGATGACGGTCTAATGATAACAAGTATATAACAATGATCGAGCGATAATTAGTTGTGATCATCTTCATTAATCATTGGATAAAATCTTAATTTTTTTTGAACTTTAGGCTCTTCTCGATTTCAAATTTCTTTCGTGTTGAGAATGAGAATCTATTGTAATTTTTTGAAACAATATTTTGATAATTTCAATCTAAATTTCCACACATTGCTAGATAACCTATGTTGATTCTCTTGATCATTGATCATTCATTTAGCATTTAAATGCCAAGTGTCATCAAAATTGAGTGATTTTAAACTTATATACACTGCATTAATATACCTCTTAAAATACTCTTATTCATTTATGTAAGTACAAAATATTTAAAAAAATTTAAAATTTCTAATTTTTTTGAAGTCTCAACTAAATTATTATTATTTTCCTCTTATTTTTTATGCTTTTGTTAAACCATTTTATTATTACAAATCTCATTAACATCCTTTTTTTCATAATAAATAAGTAGACTCAACCTCCTAAAACTAAACTCAAGTTCAATTAACTAATCAAAATCAAGTTTAAGCCAAGAAGAAATCAGAGTTTAAGAGAATGCAGTGTAGAATTTGAGATCTCCTATAAGCTTTTCACTTACATTTTACAAAATATCAATAGTTACTGCAACATAATACAAAAAGTTTATCACACAAACATTGGATAGAAAACATGGAAGAAATCATGACACAACATAAAAGAAATAGAGCTGCCTGATGGCCATAAGTGCACATAGAACATGACAATAAGCTTATTATGCAAGCAAAGAGAAGCAAAAATAGGCCAGGCTTTGTTGGGGATGTTGTTCTATGGCTTCTCCACAAGAGCCAGGGCCTCTGCAAGGCTGGGCAGAGCAGGAATTGCTCCTTTCTTCGTGGTGGTGATTGCTCCACAAGCATTTGCAAATCTCAGAACTTCTCTTAGTTTCTTTTCATCCTGTAGTGTGAAATATATAAAAAAAATTGTTTAGGCTTCACAACATAACAAAAAATTGGGTTTTAAATGCAAAATGAGTAAAATTTATAATGTTGAAAATCCAACTAAATAAGTTCATAGAGTACATTAGATTACCTGTAATACTGACATATCATCAACGAGTTTGGTGAGTAGTGCACCAACAAATGCATCACCAGCTCCAGTGGTGTCAATTTGGCTAACCTTAAAGGCGTCAACAGCCCCTCGAAAATCCTACAGGTTGGGCAAGAAGATCAATTGGTGGTGAAGATTCAGAGTATAAGTCAGTGATTTAGGCTTCGTTTGGGACGATTTTTTTACTGCTTCTTAAAGCATCTTTTTAGTACAAAAATAAAAAATTTTGTACTAAAAAGCTGTTTTAAGAAGCTGTAAAAAACCGCCCCAAACTAAGCCTTAGTCAAACCTTTGAATGAAAGAAGTTAATAACATGGGATATTTTACTTGATTGCATTTGAATGTGATAGTGATCGTAGAATAATGCTTTGCTTTGGGCTGAAGGCCTATTGTTAACTCTTGGATTATAAATAGGTATTTATTTATTTATATTGGCTTCCCTTTCATTCAATTCTTAGAAATAACAAATCAGCATAAACAATCTCAGAATCAGAAATAAAGGATCAGATTTAAAAATAAACATTCTCTAAAAAAAACTAAAATGCCTAATATAGCGATGTTAAAGATTACCTTGGTATAATATTTGCATCCCTTCTCACCAAGAGTAACCAGCAGAAGCTTCAAGCTTGGCCGCCAAAGCAACAAGGCCACTTCATCTTCTACGGAATCTTTGCCGGTTAAGAATTCGAGCTCAACATCACTAACTTTAATGATATCAGCCTGATCCCAGATGCTCAAAATTTGTTCTTTTGCCTCGGCAGCAGATGGCCACAGCGGCAGCCGAAGGTTTGGGTCATACGAGAGTAAAACTCCTGCTTCCTTGGCAACCTCCAAGGCCTTTAAATGAGCTGATCTGCACGGTTCTGTGATCAAACTTATAGATCCATAATGAAATACTTTCGCCTGTAAAAAGACAATATTAGCAGTCAGATTATATCTGAAGAACACTTTTTAGTTTCCTGTAAAATGTGTGCCCAGAGAAACGGAAAAGAATTGCTGCATTCACTTGCTAAAAACTTACAAAAACATAAATGCAACCAATTTAATCACTTTTTGTTTTCAGAAGTTACAACACTGCAAGCCAAAGAATTAGATTTTATGACGAGAAAAACCTCCTCCATATATATTTTTGTTCTTAATTACACAAATCCTTCGTGCAGAAGTAACGAATTAATAGAAAAATACAAATCTTTCATTGCAATGTTATTTTTAAAGTTCAAATTTAAAACCCTGCTCATCAAACCAGAAACTAACCTATAGTTGATGCAATCCTACAATTACTCCCAATGTAGATTCCAGAGGCTTTTTGCCATAGAACCACTCAGCATACCTAACTCTTACAAAAGCCTGGACAGATGGAAAAGGCACAACTAATTGTCTATTTGGGATAGTTGAAGCTATCTATAGAATTAGTCATGGAATTGATGTGGATAAGCAGAATTTTTTAAATCAGTTATGGCCATTATTTCTTGTACTACCAAACTCTAGTAAGTATCTAATTGTGGAAAGCTATTTCTTACCAGAGAAATTTTTGAAAATCAAGAAAATTGTAATCTAACAAATGCGTTGGAGCATTTTATAAAGTAAAGCTATCCTAAATGCACTCTAAGGTTTTATTTGGTACTGTTTTTTTACTATTTCTTAAAACAATTTTTTCGTTAAAAAAATTAAAATTTTTGTACTAGAACGCTGCTTTAAGAAGCAGTAAGAAAGCCGTCCCAAATGAAGCCTAAGACTTATAATCAATGGTTCAGCTGTCCATGATCCACAGGTGCGCTATAACGCCCATAACTCAATCATTTACCATGGTCAAAAGAAAATCCATAACCCAATCATCCACCGTAGACACGGATGAGACATGATGATAGTTGCTATCTTGTCCTCTCGATACTCCTCTATGGTCCATAACTTAATCATCCAACATGAACTTGCAAGAGACATGGAAGTTGTTTTCTTATTTTATTGCCTCAGGAATTTGAACTCATGAAATATACTTTGTATCAAATTGGACCACCTGATGCAACGAATTACTACAAAATATCACTACAAAAGACACAACTGATTTAAATGTGCAGCTAAGCCTTTATAAATAATGGTCTAGCTATCCCAGATCCATGGATGCTTTGTAATGCCCATAACAATAGAAAAAAGTTGTATAAATACAGAGAATCCTATAGTCCAAAAGCTAAAGCCATGGATTCCCCGGTGACCTTTAAACTCTTATAATAAGATAAGTTACAAAGAAAAGGCTTAGGAAGAAGTCACATCAAAAAAGTTAGCCACAATACGTAAATATTTAGGCTACTACTTGTAATTTTCTAAAACTTCACAAACTACGCAATGTTTTAAGCATCAAATAAAGCGAATCATAGGATACGGCCTTATCCTTTACCATCCGTTGCAAATGGAGAAATTATTCTGTGGAGACCGGACGCAGAACGTCGTCTGAAGACCAATCACAGGATACGTCAGTGGTACCGAACAGTACCGAGCCACAGTACCAAGCACAAGGGTGACATGGCGTATTCTAATTGGTCTCTGGAATGAGCTCTACGTCTGCACAGAATAATTAATATTGCAAATGGTCCCATTAATTATAGCCAGCTCCTAGATCTGCGATATGAATAACTCATTCTGACAGCTTAAACATAGAATGAAATATTCTATTAAAATATTAGCATAAAGTTTACCCTGCCACCATCCTAAGGAATAAAATAAGCATGAGATGAATTTTTCTCCACTTATAGAGAGAATGGTGACTCTCCTATAATATAGTTTGTGATCTAGGTGAAAATTACTTGCAATTTGAATTTCAACAATTTTCATTATAATTAACGTTAATCAAAATGCAAAAAAAAAAACAAGGATGATCAAACAAAAAAAAAGATACCCTAAGAAATCAAATTTTATAAAGATCTCTTAAAAGATTAACTTTATCTATGTTCTTCACCAATCATAATCATCAAATGGGCTCTAAATATCATCAAGGTTTCAACTTGAAGCCCTTTCAAAATCTCCATATTTTGCAAAAAAAAATTGATGCATTCAAAAGATAATCATAAAAACTTTAAAAAGTCTTGAAATCAAATATTCTACTAGTTTTAATGATATTTAAAAGAATATATAATTTTGGTTTAAGATTTGAAGGTCATAATATTGAAATCTAAATGAATAGAGAGGATGGTGATTTTCCTGCTAGTGGAATATGACACCAAAGATAAGAAATCTACTCTAGAAACAGAACACCACTCAAAAAAAAAAAAAAAAAAGATATCAGAATCAGAAGCACTCCTTAATAACCTCACAAGAACAAGAGGTTAATTTAATAGTCGCAGAATTAACATCTTTAAACGTTCTTCCGGTTCTGGAAGACTTTGATCCATTCCCAATATCCAAAAAACAAAGGAATTTTCTTTTACGACAAAAAACTCTATCTTGCGGACCTATTTTTGCATTAAAATTTATCTCCTCCTTACCTACAAATTTTGAGACTTGCTTTCAGAGATGAACCATAGGTTAAAATTGACTCTTTCTGAGGAACAAATCTGTAAAAAAGAGACTAATTCATAGATCAACATTTGCGTTTTTGCATTTAACAACAAATCTGAATCTAGTGTAGACATTGACAATAAAAGTTGCAAAAGATTTTAAAAACATTTTTTTGAAGAAATTTGTCATTAAATCTCTATTGGAATTCCTCACAGGATTTTGTAAATAACTAGTTTATGAACGTCCATAATTTTACCCTATCTTGCAATAAAAGTTTCAGCTAGGATCCTGAACGATTCCCTCATGGAAATATAAAGCAACTGCCTATTTGTCTTTATATAAACGTCTATCGTTTAAATGATATAGATCCATGTAAGCGATATAGATCTACAAAAAAAAAAAGATCTACAAAAAAAAAAAGCAAACGAAAAGCCTTCCTTGAAATAAAAGTAAAAAAAAAACATTTTTGAGATGTCAAGGTAGTTTTAGCACTTAGAACCATAGAATGTATCGAAGGGCAAAACTGTAAATAAAATATTCTAAAGCCTGCTTATACAAAAGATCTAAAAAAAACTAGAATCCAGCAAGGGGGTAAAAGGGGAGAAATCTGACGAACCCTGCGGATGAGATCCAGATCCAGCTCAGCTGGCGTAAGAAGCATATCAGCGCTAGGGTTACGATAGAACATAAACTCCCGCTCGCCATCGGAGCGCAGAGTAACAAAAGCTAGCGCCGTGCGCGCTCCAGCGTCGAAAGTAACACCTTCGTCGGAGACATCGTTATCTCTAAGAATCGCGGCGAGCATCCGGCCGAACTCATCGTCGCCGAGCTTCCCCATGAAAGCTGCCCGGCCACCAAGGCGAGAAACTGCGATGGCGACATTCGCCGGAGCGCCTCCTGGCGCCTTTATGAACCCCGGCGCCTCCGCCAGCGATACCCCCGACACCGTCGGCACGAAATCGATCAGCATCTCGCCGAAACTCACAATGAGACGATCGTCTCTGCTGCTGCCAACAGCCATCACCGGAAAGAGAGAGAGAGAGAGAGAGAGAGGGAGAGTGAGTGCGTGCGTGAGAGAGAGAGAGAGGAAGCGGATGGGAAACCTTGGGATCTGGCTGTTATAAATGAGGAGAAAAGAGATGGGGACGATGACTGGTCCAATGGCTGGTAATCTCGATAAGATTCAACGGGTAATTTTTATTTATAGAAAATGCTTTGGAATATATATATAAAATAGAACAGTGCGTTGAGAGTGGTTAAAGACGATGAAATTTCAAAGCTTCTGTTGAGATCAACTTCAAATTAATTCTAAATTTAGACTCATTTATCTAAATGTAATTTGAAAAAATCCTAAGAGGATAAATTGAGATAATTATATATTACGTGTTAGAAAATTTATAGTCGTAGACGCACAGATAAAAATAGTAAGATATCCAAAATTTTTACGTAAAAAATCTAATAAATGAAGGAAAACGGATGGCCCTAATCCAATTATAATGATCCATTATATAATTATAGAAACTAAAATTCAATTTTATCCACAATTTTATCCGCAATTGTTATGCAATTCTATTATAGGATTTATAGAAGTTAGGTGTTTACGGTTGAACAATTTTCATTCAATAATGGAATTAGACGTTAGCAGCATATCGATAATAGCCGGATGACTACAGTGATTTTAGATGGTTTTCATTGGCGATGAACACAAAAAAAATATAATAAAGTTCTTCAATATTTCTTTTGGGACAACTTTTTAATGCTTTTTAAAGCAGTTTTCTAGTATAAAATTTTTTAGTTCGGAAAATTTTTATAATAGAAAGTTGTTTTAGAAAGCAGTCCCAAACGATACCTAAATCTCTTACCTTCTTCCAAAAATCCCTCAATTTCTTTTTTTTTTTTTTTGGAAAAAATTTTTGAATTGAAGAAAATTCGCACATGCTCCCTTAAATATCTACCAAGGCGTGTAAAATGAGCGACGTCGGTGATTGCGTGGTGGTCCTCCGGTAATTAATTGCTCCGTTACGAACGATGACGAAATTTTTAGCTGGAAAAAAGGAAGCATTTTTGTTAGAAAAATAATAATAAACGAGAAATATTTATTTGTTGTAAAAGGAAAAAAAATATAAAAAGAGATTGTAAGAAAAATTATATAATCTATATTAAAATAATAAAATAAAGGGAGATTTACATACA